CCCCAAAACCCCAAAACCCCAAAACCCCAAAACCCCAAAACCCCTTTTAATAATAATTTATTGAAAATCCTGCATATGTCAGAAAGCGCAGTTGACTACAAAATGAAGAGTGATCTCTTCGCTTTTGAAGAATTAAAGGAAGACCCTAATTTTAAGGTCAGGAGACTTGGTGATGCCATCTATATGGGCACTATGGACGGAGATAAAAGGAACGGCAGAGGAATTATGAGGTATAAGAACAGGCTCTACGAAGGCGAGTGGAAGGACGATCTTAGAGATGGCGAAGGCTTTGAAGTCTATAAAAATAACAACTATTATATCGGAGGATTTCTTCAAGGTAAGATTAAGGCAACCCTCATCCCCTCTGGGGATGAGGAAGATCTTCAGTTACCTAATTGAATTCCTTCCTTGAAAATTTGCGAATATTTATATAGGGAAAGCTCATGGAAAGGGTATCTATAAATGGGCCACAGGAGAAGTCTATGATGGAGAATGGGAAGCTGGTACAAAGCAAGGCTATGGAATCTGGAAAGGGAAAAATGGCGATTCCTACATCGGAGAATGGAAAAACTCCAAAGCGCACGGCTACGGTGTCCACACTTGGTCCTCTGGTGATAAGTATGAAGGTAAGAAACTGAAAACTATGAAATTCATTTGATGTAACCGTAAAATTCTAAAAGTGTTTTAGGAGAATGGAAAGAGTGACTCAAATTTGGGCAAGGAACAGACTTTTTCGCTAATGGAGATGTATTCAGTGGATCATACTTCAATGGGAAACCTTTCGGCAAAGGCAAGTATGTATGGGCCAATGGAAGTACTTATATTGGAGACTTCAAGAATGGCCTAAAGCACGGAAAAGGCCGCTGGCAAAAAGAGGAAGGGGACCAAATCTCAGTGTATGAAGGAGAATACGTTAATGATAAGAAAGAAGGCTTTGGTGTTTTCCGATGGGCAACAGGCAATGTCTATGAAGGAAATTTCAAGGCAGATGAAAGAGATGGACATGGTAAAATGACCTGGAATGATCGAACTTGCTATGAAGGTGACTGGTTTAGAGGAATTCAGCATGGTTACGGCAAGATCGTATACCCTGATGGTTCTTCCAAGGAAGGATACTTCGAGAATAATGTTTATATTGGAAAAATGAAGGAAGATGCTGGGAATTTCACTCCTCTAGATCCAGAGAAAATATATCCCATAAGCAGTAAACAAAATAACACCAAAAGCTCACCTAATCTCGGCTTGGTAGTTGAGCAAGAAAAAGAGAGAGATAGAATTAAAGATGTAATTAAATAAGAGCAGACCACAAGGGTTAGAGAAGACTAAGAAAACAAGAGGCTCCAAATCCCCATCTCTTTTCAGAAATTCCACATCTCAATTAAAATCCAAAAAGGCTAGTCCAACTCCTAAGGCTAATAGGACAGCCAGCAAGTTCTTCAACAAGCGAGGAGGATCCAAGAAACGAAAAGTGCTGAAAAATAAATTATTTTAGAAATTAATAGTTGTTCTAAAAGGGGTTTTGGGGTTTTGGGGTTTTGGGGTTTTGGGG